TCTCCAACCTTGAGGGTCACCACCAGAGCATTATTCGTTGTGTGGATACTGCATTATGTCTAGGTCTGCCTCAGTAAAGGACACCATCGGTCCCTAGTACTCGTTTGTCCTGGGTCTCTTTTGCTAGACCTAACACAAATGCTATAGGTGTTTTACCTTATGGGTCTCTCCTTGTATATCATTTTCATTAACCTTCGAGTGGATCACATTGATCACCCGAGATTCTGCTTGCTGTGGTTGTGGCGGAGGTGGTGCTACCAGTGCCTGGGGCAGTCTCACATGTTCTTCTTTCGTTCTAGCCTCATCTACTAGGTCCCTCAAGTGACCCTGTCTAACTAGATCCTTCAAATGTGCCTTTAGGGCTCTGAAACCCTGAGTCAGATGTCCATCTTCATTGTGGTAAGCACAATGCTTTCTAATACTTCTCCCTATAAATTCTCCACAGCTGGTTCCTTATCCTTTCTAGAACTTTGTAAACCGGGATCCGGAACACAGTGGTGACTCCCTGTGCAATCCTTAGCCCTGTTTCTTGCCTTTTAAATCTAGTATTACCTCGGCCTCACTTTGGCAAGCTGTTTCTCTTTTCCAGCGTTTGTGTCTTTGTTCCCAACGTATCATCTTCTGTTCTGGCATATTTCTTGATCCTTACCATGAGCTCCTCCATAATTTTTGGCAAAGTCTTTGCCAGCGAATTCCAGCGCATGCAATCATCCTCCAGGTCATTCTTAAAAGACACGACCGCCAACTCCTGGTTGCATCCTGGTATTCGGTTGAACACCTCATAATAACTTTTGGCATAAGCCTTGAGGCTCTCACTTTCGCCAATTTTTAAAGCCATCAGGGAGTCTACCCTTAATGGTTGCAACTTGTTCATGACAAATCTAGCCACAAACATCTCGGCCAGGCCTTCCCAACTCTTCACAGTTCCTTTCGGCAACTTGTGAAACCAATCTGAAGCGATTTTCCCAAAGAATAAGGGGAACACCTTGCATAGTAACGGTTCGTTCCCAGTATACAAGGCCATTGAATTTGGATATAGGCCGACATGAAAGTTCGGATCGGATTTACCATCGTAAGTCTGGAACCTCAACATATGGAACCTTTTTGGGGCCTCAAACCTATCCAACTCCACCGAGAACGGCATTCTTGGCTTCACAGGGGATGTAACCTTGACATTTTGCCACTTTCTCTGGAGGTAGTCCTTCAAATCCTTCTTAGTTTGACTAGGAGCTCGGGTGTCAACAGATTTCAGCCTTTTTGGTGCGTTGCTCTCGGTGTCGTTATGTGTCCTCTTGGACTTCTCTTCATTCACAGTATCAAAACAAAGTTCTTTCCCTTGAACATGCCGATGTTCCTTGACATAAGTTCCCTTGGTACGAGGCGTCCTCTAAGACTCTCCTCTCATTGACTCTGCTCGCCTAGCATCTGGTGAAGGCCGATGTGAGTGTTCCTTCACTTTATCATGCTAAGGGACTGCCAGGATTGCTTTTTGCCCCCCTTTCTGAGCGTCGTTCTTGGCTGCTAACATCGGCGTGTCCTTCAATAGAAACGGTGGTTGCATAACGTTGTTATACATCATAAAGTTGACAACCGATTGCAGGTCTGCCAACTTGTTTGACATTCCTTTCATCTCATCGTCCCTCCTCAGGCATCTATCTTTCCGTACTTGGAGGTCGTTCTCGTTGTAATACTCGTCTCAGCCTGCTTTCTTCGGTGCGTCTCCCTCTTGGTCGACGTCTTTTTCCCTGGGATTCTGATCCCGTGTTCCCTCGTTACGATTTTCTTCCTCCATGTTTAGATCGGCATGTTTACCACTCCTACTAAGGATGTCGTCCCCAATCTTTTCTCCCTACTCGTTGTTAGCCATCTATTCTAGCTAAGTTCCCACAGACGGCGCCAAATTGTGGGTGTTGATTTCCGACCACACAACCAAATGAGGAACTCAGCTGGAGAGCACCGGTAGAATAGATTAAACCCGAACAACTTGTCACAGAAGGATAACAATCTGGCAGTGGTTCGTCCACCCGGGGCACTCTAACGCTTAAGTTAGTAATCAAATATCTCTCACAGATAGCAATTGTGCTTAACTCACAAGAAAGAACTTACTGCCTATCGTCTATCACACATACCTCAGACCCACGGGGTTCCTTGCTTTTATAACCAGCACTGACCTGATCCCTGTAGAAGCCTAACACTCAATGGACTCAGGCTCAATGCTCATCTTGAACTCTCAGTTAGATAGAGATAAACTCCCTAAGAGTTTTATCTTCATCCAGACTGAGATTCCCCCCCTATTCTAGGACTCTTATCCATTATCCGCTCATCTCGGATTCCGATATTTCTGTAGAAAACCTTGGCCTAACTGAGATTAGCTCAGCGTCAGGACCAGGCCATATGACACCTCGGCTGACACTCCGACGTCACCTTGACCATGTACTGTTACTCACAAAATATGTCTCCACAATAACCATCTCTCACAACATATATAAGAGTGCAGCCTCTTTGAAATTAACCATCTTTCGTTGACAAACTGTGTTTCAGAAAATTTTTACAACACATATAATAATGAATTTAGGGCAAGTAAAAATACTCCGCACATTAGGAATATTATCTACTGCTCAAGTACTAAACAAAAAGTTTTGGTTAAGATATTGATCAAATTCTCCAAGTCATCATAAGTTACTAATAAACAAAACTAATAACGTTTAATCAATCTAACTAGACTCAATTGTGCAAGAAATCACAGGTTTGGAATCATTTTTGTTTGTTTTATTTGGGGAAATAATTTTAAAAACAACCATCATTTTCAATTTGTACAAAAATAATTATCAAAAATTAAAAAAAAAAACTTAAAAATGCTTCAAAAACAATGGGTTTTTTTTTTTTTTTGGATATATTTACCTACTTATGGGGATGAAACATTGTCCTTTTTCTTCTTCTTCTTCTTCAGTATTTGTCAATGAAAAGAGTGAGGGAGTACCGTGGCTGAAAAGAAACGAAAAGAGAGAGGAAGTATTTTTTGAATTGATTTGTTTATTATTTGTTTGTATCACAAATTATTAATTTATTTTGAAAGGTAATTTGTGAAAAATTATGAGGAGTTTTGAGAGTAAATTATAACTCCAATGTAATAGAGAGTACTGAGAAATTGGACGAATTGAATAATTTTTTGGATACAAATAAAATCGTTCATATGTATTTGAAAATAGATTATTCATTTTTTTTTTAAACAAACGCGATTGTTTAGAATTATTATATTTAGATTTCTCTCCTCTCGTATAAAGAAGTCTGATATATATTGTTATATTATTATTCAACACGATATTAAATATACATATAATATAATATTCTTTTTCTCTCTCCATCTCTTAGATATTATAGCATAATATCAAAATTATAAGTTAAATTCTTGTTCTTCACCTTATCGACAGACAAGAACCTTACCTTGGCCATTCGTCAAATCCCAATCCTATCTACTGTCTCACCATAGCCGCCAGACCGTCTTTAACATTATTGCCTTCATTCTGCTGCATCTTCTAACTTCAACATCTCGGCCATCATCATTGCCCACAAACTCATAAGCTTCACAATTTTTTAATCAAACCCATCAAACACATTCAAAATTCTCTCTCGGGTCTACACTCTTCTACACTCTCTTAAAATAAAATAAAAATTCAGTTTTTCAACTCAATCAGATAGGCTTGTCCCACCATCATCATTATTATTATTATTATTATTATATCATCTTCTCTCTTCTTCTTTTTTCATACACCCATGTGGTTCTCTCTTTTTTTTGTCTCTAACCCAAAAAAATAAAACTTTAATCTAATTACATGGTTGTCCTCAATTTTAAGCCACCCTTCATTAAAATAAAATTTCTTCCCACAATATATATTTTCTTAAGAACATCATCTCTTCCTTTAATTCCACTCTGTCTTTCCCTCTCTTTTAATTACAAATAGTTTCTATCTTCAAACCTATTTCAGTTTGAAGGGGTATTATACTTATATCATGATGAATATGGTGATATACCATGCAAACCATCCAAGCCACCCTTGGCGCACTATCCAAGCCACCCCTTTGGTGCACCACATAAATCGTCCATTGGCGCACCACCTAAGTCGTCCCATTAGTGCACCACCTAAGTCATCCCTTGGTGTACTCCCTAAGCCGCTCCCATTGCGCATTTTGTTCCTTTCTAAGCCTCCTCCTAGCGCACATGGTTCCTTTCCAAGCTATCACTTGGCGCACATGGTTCCTGTCTAAGCCGCCCCTTAGCATATTTCTTCATCTGTTACCATCATTGTTCAGCACCACGTCATAAATTACGTGTGTGCCACCACGTTTGTTGGTTCATACCCGTTCTTCTTTTACAACGGTCCGACATGACTATAAACTGTCTCCGGACATTAACTCTGTTAACTTCGGCCATGTTTCTACAATGGTCCGATACGACCATAAACTGTCTCCCGACATTACCTCTGTTAGCCCCGACCATGTTTCTACAATGGTCTGACATGACTATAAACTGTCTCCCGACATTACCTCTGTTAGCTCCGGTCTTTGATCTATCTTAAGCACTCATGTGCTCCTATCTGGACTTTGCAACCTATTTGCCTTTTATCTATCCATATTTTATTTTATTTTTAGTTTTATTTCATGTTTTAGTTTCTTTCTTGAGTTTTAGGGAGTATTAAATATAACAACTTTATCCATACCATATTATATTCATTACTATACTTAGGTTTCTCTCCTCCTATATAAAAGAGTTTGGTATACATTGTTACATTATTATTCAACACAATATTAAATATACATATAATATAATATTAATTTTCTTTTTCTTAAATATTGTAACAACAATAAATAAATAAAAAAAATTAAGTTTATTGAATCGACTTAATTTTATCATAAATAATATACACGGAAAATAAATTCTCTCAACTACACTCGAGAGAAAGTCTAACTTTTATTTATTTATTTATCAGAAAAAAAAAAAAAAAAAAAACTAGAAAACGAAAAAATGAAGCCAAGCAAAGCCTTTTTTGGTGGTGTCTTTCATACAGTAGCTCCCATTAATCATCCCTGGATGAAAATATGAGGTCCATACTATTGGTGCTGCTACTACCAGAGTAAAACATGGCATCAGCCAAATCTGCCACCGGAAGTTGATATTCAACGTTACGCCCATATCTGGTTGTGGTGGTGGACAGTGCTGCACCGTCACCACTGCTCATCCCTGCACCACTCAGACCGAAGTCCCTATACATTTGCACATGTGGGTCGGTGGCGAAGGTGCTCGTGGCTTTGCCGGATAGGTTGATATCCATTGAGAGCCACCTGCTTACAGGGGCTGAAGTGGGTGGTGGCGGCAGTGGTGGTGGTGGTGGTGGTGGAGGTAGAAAGGAGGGTGCGGTGGAGGACATGTGGCATGTGTGGTCACCACGGTATGTAATTTCGAAGATGAAGGGGTCATTGTCGAGTCGCTGGACTTGCTTCTTGGCCGGGCAATGGTATAATTTTTGGTGGGTGCATCTGTAGTAACCCCTGAACACCACCACCATTAAAAATGCAGTAATGTTAGGTATCATGAAAAGTCTTTCATGAAACTGATCATGAAAGATTTGTGACCTTTGGATTACACTTAAAATAAAGCACCACACACTAATCAAGGTAATCTAAGGGTCACAGATTTTTCATGATCATTTTCATGAAAAAATTTTCATGATCCCTAACATTTCTCTTAAAAATGTAAGCAGATGATTAATTAGAGTTGGTTTGGTAATTGCTTTTATAATAGTTATTTATTTATTTGGAATAAATTACACTGAGTTCTTTTGAGAATTGAAAAAAATACAGTGATTTTCACGGTTTTGACATGTCAAATTGCTTTTTAATAAGTTTAAAGCGACCGGAATTAATACAAATGATTTAAAGACATAAAGATGAAAAAATATAAAATATAATTTCAATGTAAAAAAGATGGTAATATTATTTCTTTTACTCATATAATGAACGAGTTATTAATTGAAATGAAGTTAAGCACTAGGTAAGTGAAATGAAGTTAAGCACTAGGTAAGTGAAATGAAGTTAAGCACTAGGTAAGTGAAATGAAGTTAAGCACTAGGTAAGTGAAATGAAGTTAAGCACTAGGTAAGTGAAATGAAGTTAAGCACTAGGTAAGTGAAATGAAGTTAAGCACTAGGTAAGTGAAATGAAGTTAAGCACTAGGTAAGTGAAATGAAGTTAAGCACTAGGTAAGTGAAATGAAGTTAAGCACTAGGTAAGCTATGGAAGTCCAATGAAATTATGTGATTCTTTTGAGAATTGAAAAAAATACAGTGATTTTCACAGTTTTGACATGTCAAATTGCTTTTTAATAAGGTTAAAGCGACCGGAATTAATACAAATGATCTAAAGACATAAAGATGAAAAAATATAAAATATAATTTCAATGTAAAAAAGATGGTAATATTATTTCTTTTACTCATATAATGAACGAGTTATTAATTGAAATGAAGTTAAGCACTAGGTAAGCTATGGAAGTCCAATGAAATTATGTGAAAATTGTAAAATTCATTATATTATTTTTTTTCAAATTTTAAAAGAGACTAGAGCAATATTTCTTTTTTAATTTTTTTTGTAAGATAGGAAAATGAATTATAGGTTGACGGTTGGTTTGAGAGTAGACTATTTTAGTAATTTTTTTATTAAAATATGAGGTTGAAAAAATTACGTTTGGGATATTTTTTAATTTTTTAAAAAAGTAAAGAGAAAATAATTTTTTTGACTTTTTGGCTTTTTAAGAATTGTTTGGAATGATCTAAATAAATATGCTTTTTGACTTTTTATAAAAAAATGTACAAAAAAAATAGAGAGATGATGTGACCTAAGTGTATTTATGCGAAATAGTGACTTAGTAACTTTTTGATTTTTTAACCATGTTTGGAAATAGACTATGTTAGTTGATTATTTAACTTTTTATGGAAAAAAAAAATATTAAAAAAATAAAAAGAGTGATATACTGAGATATTTTATTTTATTGTTTATTTTAGTCTGATATGGACTATTTTGGCTCTTCCCAAACCAACACTTATAAGCCCAAATGGACAAACTAATTTTCGTATAATCAATAAAAATAAGATAGTAAGAAGTTTTTAATTAATATTAAGCATAAAGATTTAAATATTAATTACAAAAGTTTTTGATACAAACTTTTACAATTAAATGTGACAATTTTTTTATCATTGCAAAATAAAAATTAAAAACTCTTAATTTTAGCATAAATCATTGCAAATCAAAATCTCCAATTTCTACTCATCAAAATTCTTTTAGAATTAACCATAACATATGTTTTTATCTTAAAAAAAAAAGTCTAATATATATATATATATATATATATTTAAATTTCAACACAAATCACACTAAATCAAAATTCCTAATTTCTATACATCAAAATTTTTAATTTCAGCACAAATTACTACAAATTAAAAATTTTAATTTCAATAAATCAGACATCTTTTATAGCATAAATAAATTATAATATAAAAATTCAAAAATTGGGTGCACATCACCCCCTAGACTCGTAATAAATTTGTCATTATTGTTCGCAACGCTTTCATATAAAATTTGTTCAAAATTTATAAAAAGTCACATAATACTCTAAAAATAAATAACTTGCACTAGTGTAATTGACATATATTAGCGCGACTCCATACCATTTATCCATATATTTAATATAATATCATTGGAATATTTGAAAACCCCCTAATAATTTGCAATATTCAAATGGTACCAAAATGAGGACTTAAGGGCATATCAGGGTATTATCGAAATCATCGACTTTTTACATTTTATTTGTATTTATAATTTGTATAAATAATGTGTTTTACCTGATGAGTAATTATAATGTTAGCAGTGGTGTAAGTACCTTGGAAATTTAAAGCCCAAAATCTCCTTTTGGCCGTATTTTCTCCAAGCGAAGCCATCATCTGGTGGTATTTCAGTGTTCCCCATCCGTGGCGCAGGTCGCCTCACCGTTCGTCTCTCCATGTCATTCTTCCTACATGTACATAAGGAAGGACCCTGGATCAATGATTAGTCATTATACTATTCTTCATTTGTTTGGGTGAAAAAGATATTTTTTTATATCAATAATGCTGGGATTGTTAGTGGTGACCCCAACACCCCACCTTTACGTGGGATTGTAAGAGTAAGACAGAAAAAATAAATAAATAAATAAATAAATTTTGAGTCAAACAAAAAACAGTGGGGTGATAGGGGTCACCCACTGGGGTCCAAGTCATTTTTGTTTTTTATATGGTGATAGTGATAAAATGAAAGTAAAGATGGAGGTAGAGGTAATGATAGTATTACAAAAAATTAAGATTTTAAAGACTAAAATTTAGGGATAAAATTATTTTTTAGGGACCAAATATTTTTATTTCAAAAAATAAATCGTTTTGAAACTAAATTATTTTGTCCCTAAATCTATTTATTAGTGACATTTTCAAAATTTTGTCGCTAAAAATCTTATTTTTGACTTTTCAGAATGACCTTTTAATGACTATTTCCACGACGATAAAAATTGATTCTTAAATGTCTTTCGCAACAAAATTTTTACTTTTAAAGACTAAAAGATTTAGTCTTTAAGGCCCTGTTTGTTTGGAGAGTTAGAGGGAGGATTGAGATTGGTAGTGAGGTGGGACCCACTAATATTGTGTTTGCTTTGAGAGATGGGAAGGGGAATGATAGTGAGCTCCGGATTATGATGGGCCTCCCCAAGGGGATTCGAATGGGCCTCCAAGACTTGGTATTAGAAAAATAATCCGGCGAACTAGAAATTTTTTATTTTTATTTATTTTTTATTTTATTTTTTACATGTCGAGCATTTTTTTTTTAACATTAATGTTTAATTTTTTATATTTTTTGTTAAGCAAAAATCATTATTTTATTTGTTTTATTTTTTTCTAGAAATTTTTTATTTTATTTTTATTTTTTAAAATTTTTTTACATGTTAGGCATTTTTTTTAAAACATTAATGTTTAATGTTTTTGAATTTTTTTTATTTGTTTTATTATTTTATATTTATTTTATATAAAAATAATTTAACAATCCCTACACTAACAACTATCATCAAAACAAACACAATTTTACTTAATCCCCTCACTATCAATCCCCTTACTAACAATTCCCTCCATTCTACCTCTGAAAACAAACGGGCCCTAAAACTCTTATATGTTGTAATGGGTGGTGGGGCGGCGACGGTGACGGTGGCGGTGGTGGTGGCAGTGGCAGTGGTAGCGACGATGATAATGGTAGTGGTCGTAGTAATAGTGGTGCGATGATAGAGGTGAGAATGGTGGTGGTAGTGTAGTGATATTGGTAAGACTTTAGTTCAGAAAATACTTTTCACCTTTTAAAAGTGAAAAATATTTTCTGCCTTTATAAGATTGTTTTTTATTTACCATGAAAAATGTTTTCCGTTAACTTTTGTTTTTCATTGTACTAAACACTAGAAAATACATAAAACATTTTTCAGAAAACATTTTCCGCCCAAACAAACGGAGCTTATGTTTGCATATCTAAAAAATTATTCAGTGTTTTTGGAACAAATTCAGGTAATGTTTCAAAATAATAGTTATTAGTTTAAACTATGAGATTTACTATATTATTATGTTGAATTTTAGGAATTAAAATGATAGGTCTCAACATATAAATGAAATAATTTCTTTTATATCTAGAGGTGTAAACGGTTTGGTTCGGTGAGTGTTGAGAGTAAGTTCAGCACTGAATAGATCCTTTTGATTTTAATAGTTGAGGAACCAATACAGACTATATGTTATGGTTAGATTTTATCGATTTTGTCATTTTAATTAGAAGAGGAATTTGCATGAGCTTTTAGAGAGTTTTATAAAAGCTTGTAGAATTTCATATTAACAATAAGTTAAGAAAATGTATAAAAGTTGATCTTTAAATATTTTTCTCCCTAATTGTTTTTCCACAAACACATATCATATTAGGCACTTATCATGTATTGCTCAAAGAATTAAAATATAAAAGTGTTAAAATATAATATTAGATCGCTTCAGTTTGCATTAGTATAAAAAAGTTTAAAATCAACATAGACACATTATGTGAGTACATTTTAAGAGATATTAAACAAAAAAGTTTCCTTTTCAACTTCAACTCAAATTCCACTTTAGCTTATCATATTTCAACTCTTACTTAAATTTTGAAATAGTAGAGTGAGGAAAGGATTATATTGAAACTTAAATTGAAATTTAAAACTTAAAATATAAGGAACTAAAAGAAAATTTAGATGAAAGTTGAAAGATAAAAAAAATGTAGTTCACCCTTTTGTTTATGAACTCATGGATCATTGTCATATTAATAAATATACAAATGATAAGATCATTAATCTAATGCAACTATGACTTATGATAAGCAAATATTAGTAAATAATCATGTTCATAGTAGCATTATTGAATTACCAAAAACCTACTGAATGAAATATTGTTTACATTCTTTTCTTTTTTTTTTATTGGCAACATAAAAGAAATTTTATTGATGAAATTCAAGGTATAAAAGACAAACATTAATAAAGAGGGCGAGCATCATAACAAACAAAATCATTCCAACTATGTTACACCAAAGCGGAAGGCAAAATCCTAAACAAGCAAATAACAATAGTCACTAGCAACAACCACAAATATTGTTTACTTAACATGCATTACAAAAAATTAAGGTTTTAGAAACTAAAATTTAGAGATAAAATTATTTTTTAGAGACCAAATATTTTTGTTGCGAAAAGTGTCGTTATTATATTTTTAGCAACGAAAATTGGATATTAGTAATGAATTATTATCATTTTGGGACCAAATTTTTTGTCTCAAAAAATAAATCACTTTGAGACCAAATTATTCAGTCCCTAAAAGTCTATTTATTAGTAACATTTTCAAAATTTTATCACTAAAAGTCTTGTTTTTTACTTTTCAGAAGGACCGTTTAGTGATTATCCTCACGACAATAGAAATTAGTCTGTAAATGTCTTTTACAACAAAATTTTCACTTTTAAAGACAAAAAAATTTGGTCTCTAAACCTATTACATTGTAGTGACACTACAAAAAAAATCACTTTTGGCGACTAAATTTTTAGTCGCCAAAAGTCTGTTTTTAGTCGCCGAAAGTCAGTTTTTGACTTTTCCCGACAAAATTTTTTAGTCACCACATTTGTCGCGTATTTCTGGTCGCGGAGGGTATTGGCGACTAAACTTTTTTTAGTCGCCAAAAATAGGTGTTTACCGACTAAAAAATTAGTCGCCAATAGTGTTTTTCACTTTTGGAAATAATACATTTACCGACTAAAAATTTAGTCGCCAATAGTCACTAAATCGCCGACTAAACGGTTTAGTCGCCAAAATAAAGACTTTTGGCGACTAAAATTTTAGTCGCCAAAGGTGTTTCCGGCGAAAAAAAAAAATTTCAGCGACGAAAATTCATTTTTAGTCGCCAAAGCTGGATTTTCTTGTAGTGTGATGAAAATTACGTACATATAAGTATATTAGTGATATTGATGGTTCATCAACTAATAAAAAGTTTTGTACTCCTATAGTGAGATTGGATCAGTGAAATATAGGGTATCCGACAAATTTTATTTATAAATGTTTTTCTCAAATGACATCAACACTGCATGCAATAATTGTTCATAAACTACATGATCCTACAGTTGCCTGTAATGCACACTTTTGATTTCTCAGTGTGTTGTGTTTCATACTACTAATTTTTTATCAACATAAAGTTTCATTGTATAACATCTATTAAAAAAATAATAATAAGTTTCATTGTATATTTTATCAACAATATAACCTATTTTGGGAAGTGGGTTATAATCCACTTTTCAGATTATAACTCACTTTCTCTCTCACAAAAAAGCTGTTTATAAGCAACTTTTCACCAAAAAGTTGATTATAACTATCTTCCAAAAATAATCCACATATGTAAAAAAATTACTTCAAAAAGTATATCTATAGACTATAAATATTCTACGCGTGATAACATGCTATTGCCTTTAAATTTATACTATACACTTCTGAGTTAATTTTTCGAACAAAAATTAACAATAGATAGTATTTTCCACATTTATTTACGTGTTTATTAGTGAACAACATAAAGAACGAAACACATTTTTTTTAAGCTCCTCACCTTCTTCGCAGCCTTTGCGACGATGAACCACTGCCAGAATCTGACATATCCAGCCTCTGAACCGTCCCTCCACCACCTCGCGGGATCATAAAACCTCCCATATCTCTTCTACCCAATTCATCGATCTCCGAGACCTGCGCCTCGTGCACTTGTCCATTCCATGCTGAACCTAAACCTGAACCTGAACCCGAACCTTGAGAATTCAAGTAGTCCCTGGCGAAACTGAAGATCGTTATGATCTCATCGCATGACTTTGTGAGAAGGTAGGGTTGGTTGGCAAAGTTCAATGAGAAGTTAATATTTGATTCAAGTTCTCTAGCCAACTTGCTTCCATGGAAGATCAAAGAAGTGATCTCTTCCATGGCGTTTTTTGTTAGGTTAAAAGTTTATTTTTCAGGGTAGTTAAACTTGTCTTAGATTAGGAAAACACATATGATTTATATATTATTTTAAATGGGTGAAATATATTTTAGGGTTTCTATGTTGGTGAGAAAAGAAAAAAAACAAACGTAGAAATTATTCAAAGTATTTGTGTTTCTCAAACACGGCATAAAGAAGGTTGGAATGCATGACTTATTAGTCATGGTCTTCTTACTAGTTTTTACTCTTCCATTTTTTCATTGAAGTCTGCAGGAAGACCTAGCCCCCAATTGAAGCCAACTTTTTGACCACTCGTTTTTTTTCAAAAAAAAAGTTTGAAGATAAGACTGTATGAGAATTTAGTTCTTCAATTTGTTCTAGAGAAAGTGGGAGTGAATCAGTCACAGTTTTCATCTTCATATGAATTCGATTATAGAATTGGGTATAATCTTCTCATATGTGCAGTTATTACAGAATTAGATATAATCTTCTCACATTGCAGGTAGAATTAGGGCCAGCTTTGGCCCAAAAACAGTAAAGCAGACGCGTTTAGCCCCTAAAAATTGAGCAAAAAAAAAGGCTCTTCTTTTTTTTTGCTATTATATTAGTCCCCCAAAAAAAAAAAAAAAAAATCTACTTGAATTTGAAAAGCCCCATAAAGTTTGGTAAAAAATCAAAACTAATAGTTGGTTGATGTGATGAATTATTTAAAACTAATGAATGATTGTTTTTATTAGCAAAAATCAAAAAGTGGATTGATATGGTGAATTATTTTAAATTAATGAATAGTTGTTTCTCAAATATATAGATTGCGTATAGAACACAATTAATTATACAACTTACATTTGTTTCTTGAGAAAGAAACTTCTTAAATTTTGATTAAATTTTATCTCGGTCAATTATGTCACAAGAAAGATTGAATGTATTAACAAACATAATGTATGATTTTTTTGTAAGAACAACGTTTTCCATTAGGAATATAATCAATTCAAAATGATTAGTTAATAAATTGAATTATGCAAGTTTGATTAGTAATTTTATAGGTAAAAATACGAGAACGGTGATGTTTAGCTTTTTTTATTTATCGTAAACCTTTTTTAAAGAAAATTGGCCAAACATTCCTCTCCAACTTTGTGTAGTAGGATAGGTCCAAGAGTTTTTTTTTTTTTTTTTAAATTTTCTAAAAAAAAAAACTATTTAGAGAATTGACCGTTTGGTTTGAATCTCCAAAATGTCAGAGCCAATCACAAAATATTATGGCTTTGCTCTTTAGCTATCACCCAACACAAAATTGCAGCTTTACATCCTCTGCTAATCACAAAAGCTATAGGCCCGTTTGTTTGGGGAAATAGAATGAAAGGGATTGATAGTGAGGAGATTAATAGTGACGGGATTGTTAGTGAGGGGATTAATAGTGAGGGGATTGATAGTGAGGAATTATTAAATTATTTTTATATAAAATAATAAAACAAATAAAAAAATATAAAAAATTTAACATTATATTTAAAACAAAATTCTCAATATATAAAAAATAAAAAAAATTTCTAATCCCCTCACTATTTTCTAATACCATCTCTATCTCCTCCTTACCAATCCCCCTTCAAGGGTATTAGCAATACCAAGGGACTAATAGTCCCAAGACTTTCTCTGCAAACAAACAGGAGCTTTAGTAATACCTTGATATTACTGATCCCAATACTCTCCTTATAGCCCAAAACAAACGGGGCCATAAAGAACTCCTAATCATGCCGTGGGGCTCTTCATATGGAGCCTCTCATGTGTGGATCCCACCAAATAATGATAGGATCCGTTCGTATGCAATTATATGATCGAATTATGTACAATTAAATTTTTTTTAACAATAATATTAGGTGGCTTGAAAAATCATAACTCGAAAGGTTCAAAATACTTTAAACGACGGTCGTTTTGACACATTCGAACCATTTGAGTCACAAAATTCGAGCCACCAAACATTTTTCTTTTTTTAATTAGTAAAATGGTCTTACAGCTAAAACTTGGATAAATATTATTGTGAGTTTGGGCATTTCACACACACAACACACAAAAACGGAAAAAACTGTAAAATGTTAATGATTTTATTATAATTAATAATATTTGAAGAAAAAATCAGATAATATTACCCAAAAATTCAACTCAATTGTTAAAATTTACTCAAGATCTGATCCCATGATAAAAAGTTTAAATGCACACCATTGACCAAAAAAATTCATAATAATTTTATTAGAACTTTTAAATATTAGCGCTCTTTTGGCAATGCCTTTTTTAATTGACTTTTTAAATTTTTTTTAGTTTGAAATTTTTTTGTTTGTTTAATTTTTTTGTTTGATTTTTTGTGATTTTTTAACTTTAGAATAACAAAATTCTTTTATCCTTTTGTAATTTTTGATTTTTTTATTTTTTTAACTTTTTTTTTTGTGATTTTTTAAATTTTTTTAACTTTTTTTTTCTTTTTTTAGCCCAAGAGAAAAATCAAACGATCCCTTACTCAAAATGTGATCCCATTATGGATGTGCACGGAACTCGAGGACCTGCCCAATCCGTCCGGCCTGGACTGTTATGGATGGTTTCGAAGAAATTAATGGTCGGCTGCGGTTTTTCTCAAGTGAAATTCACGGATTCGCAATCAGAAACGGTTCACCCATATACACCCGACAAACACGGCCAACCGATTGAATGTTAAAGCTTCATTTGAGAAGTCAAAGGCTGAGTTTTTTTTAGTTAAAATAATTACAAAAAAATAAAATAAATCTTTTAATTATAAAAAATAAAATATCACATTTAATTTATAATTATTAATCTATCACTCTCGTGTTATACACGAAATAAATATAGATATTTATATTTATTCTAAATTTTTTTAATATATAAATTATATTTTTTAAGATTTTTTATAAAAATAATTTAACAATTTTATCACTAATCACAGTGTATGAGAGAAGTTGAAAAGGGTACTGCAGTAACTATACACGGATTGCATCTATGAAAAATGTTTGAGAGCACTAAAAAGAGAGCACTAGAAGGAGTACTAATGATGTGGCAGTGGGCCCCGCCCACTTTCTATGCTTTGTTTTCTTTTTTTTTTCTTTTTTTTTGTCATTCCCAATGGATTAGTGTTATTAGTGGTGTATTTTTTAATGATCTAAATCATTGTTGTTGCATCTATAATTATTTGTATGAGGAGATTTTAAATACTGATCAGGAGATTTTGACTAGATCAATAAATGCAGGCATGTGGAAAGACATATGGATTGAAAAAAGTTAATAAATATTAATTAGGAGATTTTGACCAAATCAATAAATACTGAGTTTTTTTTAAATAAAAAATTAAAAATTAAAAAAATTCAGATTGAGATATTAAAACTCTCACAGGTCTTGGGGATTAAAACCCCCATTTTACTTAATATATAGTATAGATTATATTTTTTTTCATAAAAAAATTAAAAAAAAATCAAAAATACTTTATAAACAAAATTTTTTAACCTTACATTAAAATAATTAAAAAATTAAAATGCCAATCCACTCTCCCAAGCAACCTTACACATTTCCCACGGCCACAGAATGTTTTTTTTTTTTAATTACTTTTTTACTTCATTAGTGATGAATTTAAAATTACCAAATTAATACTCTCTATAATAGTTGTATTTCTATACAACAATGATTCATCCCACTAAAAATACTACCACTAATAGCACTAATGCATTAAAAAAGTAAAAAAAAAAAAAAAATACAACTCAAAGACCAAAACATCACATCATTAATGACAGGACCCACTGCCACCTAATTAGTGGGAGCACTAATTAGTGCTCCCAAGCATTTTTCATTTCTATACTTGCGACCAAAACATTACATCATTAATGGCGGAACCCACTGCCACCAAATTAATACTCTCTATAATAGTTGTATTTCTATACTTGCATTGGGAGTACGCAGGCAGACTGTCATTTCCCCTCTTTTGCATAGACATTCAATGCATGTCTTTGTCGCTCTCATAAATTCTAAAAAACCTTAAAAATAAAAAGTTTCTAGTCATACGTAGAACAACAATGATTCATCCCACTAAAAACATCACCACTAATAGTACTAATGTATTAAAAAAGTAAAAAAAAAAAAAAACACAAATCCAAGACCAAAACATCACATCATTAATGGCGGGACCCACTGCCACCTAATTAGTGCTCCCAAGCATTTTTCTATGTAGAATTATAATTTAATAATGGAGTTATATTTTAAGTTTGTAAGTTTTGAAATTATAATTTAAGTATAAAATTTTTGTTTAATTATGAGTTTTGAAAAGTTTTAAATTAAGTTAGAATTAAGTGATGTGATATATGATATATTTCACAAATATTTTTTTTTATAATATAAAAATAACAAGTGAAAAAAAAAACAGAGCACTATTCCGATTAACCGGCCGGACGACCAATGGAACGTTAGACAACCAGTTAATTCAAATTTTTCTACTTTAAAAAAAAATTTCAAAAATAAATGTAAAATTAATTTTTAAAAAGCTAAACAAATATTACACTAAAAAAATTATGTGAAATTATATTTTAAAAACTCCATCAAAGGGAGCCTCTTTTTCTCCCCCCACTCTCCTTTCCAGGTTATCTCTTTCTCCTACATTTCTCTCTCGTAAATTCTAGAAGAGCAAAAAATTGAATACTCTTCCTTTTCAATCTCGTTTCTGCTTCTTTTTCTACAACCCAAAAAGAAAAAAAAAAAAAAAAAAGGTGACTTTTTGTACAATAAACCCATTTTAAACCCAAATGATAAAACTAAAAATGTAGAAAGAGTTTATCACTTTTAAAATTATAATTTGAATATGAAAATTTTATTTGGTGAATAAATTTTGAAAAGAGTTTTGAATTGAATAGAGAATTTTTAATGTGATATATGATATTTGATACAAAAATTTACAACTCATAACCAAACACACAACTTAAAATTTTATTCAAAACTCATAAAAAATTTTAAAAATTCAAAAAATATTTTTTTAT